ACGAACTGTCGATTAATTGTTTAGTTTTATATACTGTCTTCAATGTTACTTATGAACAATTACAGCAACAACTTTTGTCGGCTGACGATGTAATTCGTGCAAACATTAATCAGGATAGTATATATATTGTTGCGGTTATACTTGCTGGTACTGCTGCTCTTGCCTGTGTTTTATGTACATTTTGTGCAACCGTCGTTGCTTTGAGGTTTGGTGTTAAAAACTTATAAATTTTCACTTTCGAAATCTTCAGTTTTATTTACCTTAACACTCACCTGTTGCAGATCTTCGTATATTTTGCATCACAAATCGACAAATAGTGATTCTACGGTGTTAGCACCTTTTGATGACAACTATGGTACGCTAGGTACAGTACTAAACGCTCAAACGAGATCTCTTAATGGACAGGTAAGTTTTTTGTTTGCAAACAATTTATAAAGCTTTTTTGAAAATAAATTAAAAATAGATTTTTTCTGATTGTATGGTTGACCTTATGATTTTTTTTTGTTAACGTTACAGCAGCAACCAGTGATACAGCAACGAGAAGAACAATCTGTCTACTGGTCGGCAGATGAAAATCCATACTTTTATCAAACATCAAAACGTTATTACGGACAACCTTATCAGATTGAATCAGGGTATATATTTGTCATGTATAATTTGCTTTTTTTAAAGCTTTTGTACTTGCTATTTGCAGAGCAGGTAAAATGAGCTATGTTTTTTGAGCCAGTTACTTAAATTGTCATCAAATTTAGGTTTTACGGCTACTCATTGGCAAGTCCACGGTTGAGCCTACAACAGAACGGGTATCCTGATGATTTGCAGAGGATTCACTCAAGCGCTGTTCAAACACGGATCGGTCATGTATTTCGTTAAATCGGCATTTCATGACAAATTTTACTGTTAATATTGTTTCCAAAAATCTTCAGGCACTCTTCAGTTGGCTTAAAGCTGAGGAGATATAAAAAAAAGAGAGTTTATTTTAATCTTTGTGCAATCCTCATAATTTTCTTTTTTGATTAATTGTTGTTGCCTAAAGCCGCAAAACGTTGTATCTGATGCAAAAGTTGTGCAGAAGTTGTTTGAACAATTTCTTTCTTTCTGCGTATTTCTGTAGATATTTGCGCTTTTCTAGTCTGTTTATTGCTGCTTTATTTGGTTTCTAAATATAGTATTCAGTTTAAGTGGTGCCCAACAAAAATTTATTTTATTTTATTTTTAATTTTTTTGCCCAAATTTATTTGGCTATCTTAAAATTATGTTTGATACTTAATAAAGAATACTAAATTTAATAGCTGATAGTTGTAGCTGATTTTTTTTTCTGGCGTTTACACAATCTTTGTTTGTTTTTTTGACACAAATGAAGTTTCTATTTTGTATGCAAAAAATAAAGAAAAGAAAATAAATTGGGGAAAAATTTTTGCTTATCTTGCTTTTTTTTAATTGTTTTTTATAATCCAAAGAAAGTGATTTTATTCTATTTTATTGTTGTTATTTGTCTTTTTTCTTTTTTCTTCTCCATTTTTTTTTTGTTTCTCTGAAAAACGGAAATGTACTTTGAATTCAGGTTTTTTCTTAATTTTTATTCCTTATTTTTTTTTTGTATGATTGTTTGCTGTGTATTGAATTGTGGACATCGTTATAAGTGAAGTTGTTTCCAGATATGTGCACTTTTTTGAGGAAAGTTACGATTCCCACAAGTTGCAGCCAAATAAGAAATAGGTAAAATTATGAAAGTGAACAAGTACCTTTAATGTTACCGTTAGTTTATCGGTTATTTTGAATTGATGAAAAAATAGAAAAATTCAAAAAAAAAAAATGTGTTCGTTCTGATCATACTTTTTTCTGGTCAGACAGTTTTTTGGTTAGTGCGTAGCTCCGATGGCCGAAAACTATAATTTGTACGAATTTATTTGTTTGTTTTTCTGCACAGTTTTATAGTTTTTTTTAATTGCTTCTCACTCACTTTTTTCCTGTTTTGCCCTGCTTTTTTTCAAAACAGTTGTTTTAAGCCGAATCGTCTAGACAGTCTTTGGTCAATACAAAAAACAGTGAATAAAAACTTTTATCAGTAGGGTTCATGCAAAGAAAGCTGCAGATTGCAGTTATCGGCTGGAAATGTTAGTCGTTAGTTGTTCAGCAGTGACTACTGACATCTATTTGTATATCTCCTAAAGATATAGAATGAAATAATTCTGTATAATTGAATGATAGCAAAATTTGTTGGCTTTATGTTTATTACTGGGAAAATACCTGATATCAAATGATTTTCTGTCAACCCGGTCATACAACTTTTATGCATAGAAGTTCCGAATAAGTGAACATAAAAGGGTACCGTTTGGTCAACTAGTGTTTAGGTTATTTCTGTTCAAAAAAAATTCACTGTAAGAATTAGCCTCATTCAATACAAATGCAGATGATTGCTGATGATTAATCCGCTATTAAGTTCTGCATTGCTGTCAAAATAGCTGTAGTGAAAAGCTTTCAGAATTACTGTATTTAAAGAGCAAAATACACAAAATACGCGTATAACCGTTCACATTTGTTTTATGTGTATAATTCCGTAAACAACAACTTTGAAGGGGGGCAAAAAAAAAACAACGAATCTTTAGATGTGTTCAAAAAAATGGATAAAAATTTGCAAGTTTTTTATGAGAAAAGAAAAAACCATGTATTGAAATATTCCGTTCATTTTATTTGTTTTT